TTCTGGGTGTAAGTAAACGTATGAATGAGATTTAGAATGACTCTGATTCTGAATCCTATGACTAAGTAAACAGCTTATTCTGATTCCGATTCCTCACTCCGAATCCTACCCACTCCGAATCCTGCCCACTCCGATTCATGCTCATTCCGATTACGTGTAGGTAAACATACCATAAAAGTTATGTCCATTAATTGGAGCAAGAGAAAAAAATATTTTAAAATAAAAAATAAAAGAACAGAATATTTTTTTAAAAAATAACAAAAAGAAAAAAGAAAAAAAGAAAAAAAAATGAGGGGGGAATGGGGTGGAAGGAGCTACCACGTAGCAGCTTAGAAATGTTCTGTGGGAGCACTGTTGAAAAAAAGAGGTGTAAAGATAACTTTTGATATAACAGAAATTACACAGAAATCAATTAAATAAGAACATATTTGAAGAAAATTATTTTAACTATTGATAAAAATAAAATTAAATGGAGTAAAGTGAGCAAAAATTATTTTTAAAAATTTAATGTAAAAAATTGAACTATAAAATTTAATGTTAGATTGGATGTTAGACTGGATGTATATAGTTGTTAAAAGATTAAACTATAAAAATGTTATTTGCAAAATTAGAAAAAACATAAAAAAAAATAAAGTTAGGAAAGAGGAAAACACACCTAAAAAAATTAAAATGTAAAAAATTTTCATAAAATAAAAAAAGAAGAAGAAAACATTAAAAAAATAAAAATAGAAAAAGTAAAAATGAAAAAAATGGGATAGGGGCTACCACAAGGCAAGCTTAAAAGTGCTTTGTAGTAAAAAAATATGCGTAAAGATAATATTTGGCATAGTAGGAATTAGACGAAAAATAATTAAGTAGGGACATATTTGAAGAAAATAATTTTAACTATTAATTAAAAAAATTAAATAGAAACACATGTAAAATAAATTACTTTTATAGGAGTAAAGTAAACAAAAAATATTTTAAAAATATTATGTAAAAAATAAAATTGTAAACAAATTCATAAAACAAAAAAAAATATTAAAAAGATAAAAAGAATAAAGATAATAAATAAGTAAATAAGAAAAAAAAGTAAAACGTGAGAGAAGAGAAGAGACCACCACGTGACAACCCTATAAAAGAGTACTGTTGCAGGAGTTTTTGCTCTTTTATAAGCAAAATATTTAAAAAATAAAAAGAATAAAAATAATCTAATCTAAACATATATAAAAGAGCCAAGGACTTAACTTGTAAAGATGACATGTGTTGGTTTCTAAAGAGGTCACGTGTTGGCCTCATCTTTCTTTCTTTTTTCTATTTTTTTTTAACTTTTTTTCCATTTTTATTTTTCTTCTCTTTTATTTTTCTTCTTGTCTTTTGTTTTTCTCCGTACATCTAACATATAACAATATATAAAAGAGTTAAAAATTCATTTTTATGACGTCAGTTTCTCTACTTATTTCTTATTTTATTTTATTTTTATTTTTTATTTTTTGCGTATTTTTTAAAAATAATATATTTTCTCAAATATAAAAAACCTTAAATAGTCGTATAAATGAATTTCTTATTATTTAGTAAACAATAAAATTTTTAAGTGTCTCTAACATACGGTAACACGTGCAAAACGCGTTACAGAACTAGTAAATAAGTAAAGAAGAAAAAAAAATAAAAAGTGGAGAAAGAGAAGACACAGAATAAAAAGTAGAGAAAGAGAAGATGCAGCCACATAGCAACCCTATAAAAGAGTACTATTACAAGAGCTTTGGCTCTTTTATACATTATTAGATTAGATAAACAAACACTGATAATTTAGCCTCATTTAATTTAATGATTAAAATTTTAATTGAAATTAAGCGCTTGTTTAGTTGGAGGATTCGTTCTCTAATTTGAATCATGGTTTATGATTCATTATAGTATTTTCTCTTATAAAAAATACACGTAAATAAAAAATAATTTTAATCTGTGAACAAAACGGGTTCTAAGATGAAATAACTTTAACCGTAATAAAATTAAAATTAGGCCTCGTTCATTTCACCGATTCGAGTTTTCAGATTTAGATTTTTACAGTAAAAAACTCTCAAAAAATATCACATCTAACTTATTTTGTTACAGTAAAAAGCTATCTAAAAATGTCACATCTCAACTCAAATTGAAAACTCAAATATGTGAAGTGAACGAAACCTTAAAAATTCAAAGTCAAATAAATACAGGTTGGCACAAGCGACAAACTTCAACATTTGTCCTTTAGGGAAACTATGGTCTTATCAGTTCCCCGTATTTGGCTCACTTCTAGGCTGTAGCTAAAACCCTCGTCTCTCTGTCTCTCTGTCTCTCTCTCTCTCTAATTTCTCTGTCTGTCCGAAAATGGAGGTTGGTCGCGACGCGGCTTCGACGACGAACTCAGGCCCCTCTCCGCCGCCGTTTCTGAGCAAAACGTACGACATGGTCGACGACCCCTCGACCGACTCCATCGTGTCGTGGAGCGATCACAACAACAGCTTCGTCGTCTGGAACGCCCCTCTCTTCGCCAGAGACCTCCTTCCCAAGTTCTTCAAGCACAACAACTTCTCCAGCTTCGTCCGCCAGTTAAACACTTATGTGCGTCCTCCTAATTCTCTCACTTCCTTTTCTATTCAATTCTATCCGATGATTCGTATCTTGTTAATTCTTTATTATTTTCGATTTTTTTGTTCTGAAAGTTGTGAATTTTGGGGATTATGTTGATGTTATCTGTTCTCTCTGTGATTGATTTTCTAGGGTTAGGGCAAAATTGAAATTATAGGAAAATTTGGATCTTTTTATTTTTTTTGGTGCTTTTTGTTGGAGATATTTTTTGGTCATTCTCAAGGATGTTTTTTTATTTTTTATTTTTTTTTATGTGTTTTGATGCAAAATTTTTGTAATCAAGGTTGTGTCGACTCTTACAGATATGACAATTGACAGATGCCCAGTAATGATCCAGTTTTGCTAAATACAATTAGTACGGTTGTTAATTAAAAACTACCAAGACGCATTGTTATCTTGAACCACCAGAGTCCAGAGGTTTGTTTCTTCCCTCTTGTCTCACTTCAGAAGACTTTTATTTGATAATTTTCCTCCTTTAGTCAAGGGTCGCAAAGAGTTAAGCAAAGCGCTAAGACTAGCATCTCAATTATCATGGTAAATTGCTTAGAATTAAACATTTAAGATTCCCTACGTTTCGCTAGTTTGAATCACAGCGTAAGTTTTTGCTATAGTGTTTTCTCCCACAAAAATTTAAATTTAACTTTTTATGTTACAGTGACGTTTCGCTAGTTTGAATCACAACGTAAGTTTTTGCTATAGTGTTTTCTCTTATAAAAATTTAAATTCAACTTTTTCTGTTATAGTGATTTCTCACACATAAATTCACTTTTTAACTTAAGTTATTAATTCGAACGGGCAAAACGTACGAGGCCTAACTTGATAGAATAGCCACCAGTTCATTACCGGGCCGTCTTTTTCTTGATTTGAAAGTTGCATTTGTTTATGTCATGGGTGATCATTGTGGAGTTTAGTTTAGAGAAGGAAAACAGTACCCAATTCAGAGAAGACGGTGAAGTAAAAAAGTCTTATTTGAATTATAATTTAAAAGGTAAGCATGATATAATTTTGTCATTAATAACCTTATTGTCAACTCAAGTTCAAATGAATTTTTTTCATAAAAGCAACGTCTTCTGACTCATTTCCAAGTCATTCATGTCTTCCTCTTCCTTTTTATTTTTTTAAAATGCATTTTCATGCAACTTGGAGTTGCTAACATAAATGAATTTATCAATTAAAGAAGTTTTAAAATAGAGAACGAGGTGTTCTCATTGTGTTTTATTGGATTTTTATGATTAAATGGATTCAATTCTATTGTATTAAAGAGAATAAGTTTGGCCCTTACGATAAGTGCTGTTCTTCAATGGCTTCATAGAATCATATGTGTAATTAACAATTAGAGAATTCCTCTAGGATTATACAGCTAAATGAGCCTTTTTTTTGGGGGTTGTACGTATAATTGATCATCAAAAATTAGGTTGCTTGTGGAATAGATTGATAAGAACCGAGAAAAGATTATTATTGAAAACAAGAACTAGACTCGATTACAAGATAGATTTGTAGACTTTCGAGAGGTCTGCTAGCTCTCCTAAAGGGTTTCCCCAGTTTACTCTAATCAATCCCTTAATCCCCCCCAAATGCTAGCATCTCTTTTTATATTACTAATACCCCTCTAACAAACTGCTGACAACTAGTAATACTAATACCCCTCTAACAAACTGCCGACAGCTATTTCTACACCATAATAACTTCTACTATCAAACTAACTACCCAAGACCATCATTAATGAGTCCCTATCATTACTCCCCCGGCAAAAATACCTTGTCCTCAAGGTGTTGATTAGGTAATTGCACTTGAATGATGCCATCTTCTTCCCATTTCAATGCACGTGAACCTTGGAACGTCAAAGGTAGCAGTAATTCCAAGTCTGCCCTTTGTGAAATTTTCAATTCCAATTCCTATCACGCCAATTCCTTTCAACCAAATCCGGCCGGTATTTCGTAACCCAGTCCAAATCTTGTTGGAACTCACGCCGCATATCCCTGACCCAGCCCCAGTCACGCTGGAATTCCAAGACCCAATCCTAATTGCTCCGAAATCATCCCTCATGACACTTGGATTCCAAGTCCCAGCCCTCCCATCGAGAGACCCAGCCCCTAAATCGCCAGAATTGATCTTCATCGCGTCGGAATTGCAAATCCCAGCCTTCATGGCGGCAGAACTAGTCCTAAGTACACCAGAATCATGAATCTCATCGTTGACAGTGCTTGATTCCATCCAAACTCCACGCAAATCTTCTGGGTCAGTCATCGGATCGTCATTTTCTCCCTCTGCTGGTTAACACAGACACGAATTCAGCTTCTTGAGTTGTTGCCTACTTAGATCTAATCACAGATCGTCACACAGGCCAGTTCGCAACTCATATGGTGTTGATCGTTGGCGGTGTTCATCGGGTTCTGATCACGTTTCCTCTAGCGTCGCTTGTCGGATTCGGTCTCCCAGATTTTGTCGCGAACCTCCAAAAACCCCAAGATTTGAAACTCTAGGATCTGAAAACCTAGATTTTGACTCAAGATCGCCATTCTTCTTGCATTCTGATAGCTCTTGACGTCGATCTGTTACTATGGTCGACGCCGCCGCCACTCCAAATCTCACCTCCATCCTCTTTAGAAGTTGCTCCACGTTTTGAACCATGGCTTCAACCTTCGCAACAGAGCAGTTTCCCTTTGCTGGTTGGAAACATTGAAACAAATGCGTCTTAAAAGCACTCCAACAAACGAATGGCCGCCTTTTATCTCCCATTGATACCACTGAAGAGCTTTACCTTCCATGAACTCCCCAATGAACTTTTTTTTGCTATGAAAATCGATTTTTCAAGAAATATTCTTCTACTCTTGCTATTCACCCATCCGGATCTTCTCCGGAAAACATTGGCTTCTCTAATTGCTGCCAACGTCTATATGTTCCCTCCATCTTCTCCGAATCTCGCCCAAGAAAGTGCTCTGATACCACTTGATAAGAACCAAGGAAAGATTATTATTGAAAACAAGAACTAGACTCGATTACAAGATAGATTTGCAGACTTTCGAGAAGTCTGCTAGCTCTCCCAAGGGTTTCTCCAGTTTACTCTAATCAATCCCCTAATCCCCCCAAATGCTAGTACTTCTTTTTTATATTACTAATACCCCTCTAACAAACTGCTGACAGCTAGTAATACTAATACCCCCTCTAACAAACTGCTGACTTTTATTACTACACTATAACAACTTCTATTATTAAACTAACTACTTAAGACCATCATTAACGAGTCCTAGCACAAACTGCTGAAGTGCATCCAAAGTGTTTACGTTGTTTGAATTGTTGCAAATCCTTCTATGCCTCACACTTGTAAAGTTTTGCAGAGGACTCGACAACGTAGATGGTGGATCTTTTGACGACGCAAGCTTCAACAATTTTTGTACCCGATTAACGCCATGATGGGACTATGTAGGTCCTTTCTGGCGGATTCTTTATAAGTTTGTATTATCACATCTACTTGCGGCTTTATTTCTTGTACTAGTTTCAAATATCACAATTGTTTCACTTCCATCCTCTCATAAGTGTAATTGTTGTCCCTACTAGTTGGGTGATGTAGTTGTGATATAAGCAGCTTATAAAAATGCAAATTTCTGAAAATAGGAAGACAATGAGTGAAAACATAATCTTTAAAGAGAAGATTTTCCGACAATGGTACTAAAATTTGTATAAATAAATGTGAATTATGTGACTCAACGAGTAATAAAACGACAAAAGTGGCAACACGTAGGTTAACGTGACCAAAATTTGATTTTGAATGCAAGTTTAGAAAGTTAGCAATTACATTGTCAATCATTCAATAAGAAGCTTTTTTGTCTAGACTAATGTCTAATCATTTATAAAGAGAGAGCATTAACAATTTGAAGGCAAAACCATATTTTTTTTCTTGACTTCTTAAATGAAGTACTTTTTTTTTTTTTTGAGAAAAAATGAAGCTCTTTTATATAGTATGATTATCATATTTCTTTTTTGTTTTCTTTGCTAACATAACGCATTAAAAAATCTTCCTATTTCATTTTTTTTTTTATAATACAACCATTTAGAAAATGAATGTCGCCCAAACGATCATAGATTAATGAATGTTTTTTTATTATTATTATGAATATCTTTTCACTAACATAATGGAAAATGAGAGTTAATGGAATGAAGTAAAATTTAAACATTTAAAAAAAAATATGAAAAGCATATATAAAAGTACTAAGATTAATTACAAAAATTCCTCTTGAAATATGACCTATGCATCATTTTATCTCCTAATTTTTAAAATGTAACATCTATTCTTTTTAAACTTTAAGCTGTTAACAAATTAACTCCTTTCGCCAGTTAAATTGACATAATTGACACATGTCAAAGACACAATAGTGGATGTTAAGCAATTCAGTGCAAAATTATTCTTTTACCCATCAATTACAATTTACATATATATATGTATATTTTTTAAATAAATCCTAATTTACTTTTAATATGACAAAATAAAAAGAAAAGAAAATACTTCATCTTCTTCCTCTCCCCCGAAAACACTCCAACAATTTGTTCCTGCTAGCCCCTGCCACCGTGTCGGCGTATAGCCCCCTTCCCTCCCCAAATGATGCTGCGAGCCTCCCCTCCACCTCCGCTAATAATCACATATTAAAAAATAAATTAGAATTGGGAAATATCTATGATGGATATGAGTAATTGCAAAATTGTGGAAATATGAGATTATCACATTAATTTAGGAGTCAATTATTTGATTGGCGTGTTAGTATTTATTAAGTTTAATGTATTCAAATATTTTATGAATCTCTCATCTTATATAAGAGAATATTAGTCGTATTAAGATATCGAATAAAATTATCCAATACAAAGAAATTAAGTTTCTATTGTGTCCTTTATTCATGTTTCTTCTTCTTGGTTGTTACGCTTCTCGATGTTACCTATCTCCTACTCTTGTAACCGGCTCTTCTTCCCAGATCCCACTTCCACCGAAATCATGAAAATCACTCATGAGATGTTAGTTTTAAGGGTTCGTCACTAGTTCTGAATCATGATTCTTGGTTCTTTACAGTGTTTGTCTCTCATAAAAAATTAAAATCATAAATCATAGTTCTAAATTTATGAACCAAACCTCTCATTAATCGATTCTAATAATGATCCACATATATCAGATCGCCCATGTGTTTTGCAGCTTCATCAATTAGAAAGGAGATTTCTAAGCATCTACCATTGTTATTGTTCGAATAAATTGAATCTGAGCAAGGGATTTGTGGCCTCATTTTTAGAAAGTTTATGCAAAGACATATCTCCATAGATTAGGTTTAGAGGACACAAAGACACAGTGCAAGCGCATTCCGGCAGCCGCAGCCCTAATATGGATTATTGTAGATGCTTTGGGTTTGGGGTCAGACATAGGGATTTGGATGC